CATCCTTTTCAACTGATTTTCCTCAGCAAGAAAAAAGATGGAAGAATCATTAGGAAAACACAGGAGGATTACACATGGATGATGCTGATAATGTCTGGAAATCGAGTCCATGTACAAGGCAAGGCCATTGCACATTAAGGGCCTAACCTGGAAATACCTGCAAGCTATTCCCAGGAAAAACAGGAGCTAAATTTCATGGAGAGGTCAAGAGGAGAATAAGCTTGTAGATACTTGTACTGGAAAAAAGAAGGAATGAATGGCTTGGAATGAAGGCTTGGTTGTGATGTTACATGTCTGGCAGTGCTGCAGTGGGTCAAGGGGAACTGGGGATGCTACTGTCCCTTATGGGTCTGCCATGTTGCTTATATAAGCCATGACATATTTCACCCACTGGCAGCTTTGAATGAAGCTCATGGCAAACCATTGAAGTCAATGGAACCACCTCAAAGAAAACAACTTCACCACTTATGTACCTTGTCTTATTTACACAGCAGGTTCTGGCATTGTCCATTTTGAAATAGCCAACTTAAAGTGTGGCTATTACCTTTAAAGCTTTGAACGGCTTAGGACCAGGTTACTTGAAGGAGCATCTCTTTCCATATAGAACTGCTTGGACACTAAGATGATCTTGCGAGGTCCTTTCCTACGTGTCCCCAACATATCAAGTAAAGTGGGCAGCTTTTGGGAATGGGCTGTTTCAGTGGTGTTATCCTGGATGTAGAAACCTCCACACACAGAATCTCATCTGGGCACTTTTACTGTGGTCTTTTCAGAAACAAGTGAATACTTTTATTTTCCTGTCAGGCTTTCCAGTCTTTTGTTTTAAAATTTACATCCAGTCACTGTTAGTTTTTTTCTCTCTCTTTAGCTTTATTTTATAGGAAGAGTGTTAATGTTACTTATTACTCTTGTTAATATTATTTGTTTTTTGTGATGTGTTTTATGGGTTTAGCTCTAAACCTACAGCTTAACTACCTAGAGAGCTTTGGTTCTTGTGTGCTATGGAAATATAATTAATAAATGGAAATGATAAGCATGCTCAGTATTGCTTGCAGACTCACATCAGCTTTCAGGCAATACCGTTTCCAGAACTGAGGTTTGTAGTTGTTTTTCATACCAGTTTAAGATTGAGCTATTTTGCAATATACTGGTTCTCCTTTGCAAATGGATTATGAATGCTCACTTACTGGTATTTTTCAAATATGGAAAATATGCAAGGAACATCTGTTTTTATATTGCTTTTCTTGACTAAAAGATATCAAGGTGCATCATGGGAAATTGTATGTTAGAATTTCCCATTACCCCTCCATAAAACAACTTTCCTACCACTCCCTGATTGCATCTTATATGGCAATGGCTTAACAGCTATACCATTAGTGAGATACGGAAAATAAGCCTTAGTAAGAGCCAAGTTTCCATTTTGCACTAGTACCCACCAAATATTAATGCCATGTTTCTCTACAGAGTCGAACAAAATAAGCATCCTTTGATTGTTTGGCTACAAAACTCTAACGGGACATTACTTCGTCAATCCGTTCAGGTCTGTGTGCAGGCATATCAACAACATCAAAGGGTGGCCAAACATCCAACTTGACAGAGGAGGATCCACTCTTTGACGAGCTGCCTGGTCCAGATCCAGTTTAAAGATAAATACCATTGGAAGGGAGAACATGCCCTTGAAACTGCCCTTGAACAATGAGCACCTGAATAGCCGGGTGAGCAGATTCATGGTTTCCCTCTATTCTGGTGAGATCAAATCACAGTAATTCTGTTTAAATGTACATCTGCATCTATAAATTGTTATATCCACTTTTTCTGAAAAACGGTGTCTTTTATCCTCTTTTTTGAAAATGCATTTTCTCTTGTTTGGCCACATGTGCTCATGTGCTTTTTACAAGATTGTCTCATTAATCGAGTCATCAGGAAGTTCACCATTGCTTATAACAGGAGATATTCCAAGAGACATGAAATGCACCCATCTCACCTCTAGCTGGACAAAATGCTGTTTGGACCCCATGAGTGTTTTACTAATTCTAACTATGCTGCTCTTAAATCAAATGCAAAACATTTTTCATGAAAAATTATGAGGTTATTTATATGCCTTCCACATCAAGGCAACATAAAATAAGGATAGCAAAACACAGTAAAAGCAATAAAAGTATCAGCATAAATGTCAACAAATTATATGGCTTTTCCTGAAGAGGAAAAGTGTGCAAATCCTTCACTGTCCATGTCTAAGGGTGCCCATAAGATTATTGAAAGCCTGAGGTCATAACATGAAATAATAAATATCTGAGAGTAAGCCACACTGAACTCATTGGGACTTAATTACAGATAAGAAAGCATAGGTGGAGAGTTGGCGAGAGCCTAAATCATGCATATTTTAATGTTTGTTTTGCCAAACAAATGAAATTAGTATGGTAAATTCATAACATATTCAACAAATGTCTTTTCCAAGGTCTCCCCACCCTCTTAATAATGACATCTGGTGTAAAGCTCTCCAGTACAGAAGCTGAATGTATTTTGACACCCAATGTTCCATATATATAATGATGTCTGTATTTCATTAAGGATCAAATATTCTGAGCATGGCCATCCCAAGGACCACGGGATGTCTCGGATTCTCTTCCTACAGTTATAGGCACTGCTACAATTTCAGAAGGACACTACATCATCCAAGCCATCTCCTGTCCCTTCACAGCTACCATAGAAAGCAGCCCCTGCTTTCCAAAATCACAAACCTGGTCTCAGAGGACCTTGGAAAGGTCAAAGGGGGGCCTTCTGTTAGGTGGAAGGCAAGCGAGAAAGCTCAACACAGAAAATCCTGTGGCTCTTCAGCACTGCTCCCACCAGCATGCCTTTGCCAGATGGGATCAAAGGCCTGTCTAGGGGAGAAAAAAATTAGAGGAAGGAGAAATGAAAATCACCTCCATCTCACTTCTGCTCTGTCAGCAGCAGCCTGGTAGAGCACTGGATACTTGAAAGCCTTTAAGATCAAGGGCTTCCAGTGGGTGTTGAGTAGATAGGGTTACAGCACCCCAAGGCATCTGCATCAGCTGTCCCAGGGTGATTGGTCCATCAATGGCAATGGAACCTCTCATAGAAGAATATGCCATTAAAACTTCAGAGTAACTGATATACATCGCTTTAACAATCTTGCTGTTCAGCTGTTCAGTTGTGTCCAACTGTAAGTGATCCTATGGGCCAAATCTCACCACACTTCCCAATCCTGTGCCACCTCTTTCAGCTGAACTATCCTCTGGCTCACATCCTCTTTGATGGAGTCTAACCACCTTGCTCTTTGGCAACCTGGTTTTCTCTTGCATTCCAAGCATCATATCTTTCTATTTAACAAGCTGGCTGGTTGTTTTCAGCCAGCCTAATATCCTCCATTGGGGTGGGGGAGGTGGATATCCTCAAAACAGTCTTCTTCCAGCTTGGTGCTCTGCAAACTATATACAGGTAGAGGGTGATGGGAGTTGAAGTCCAAGATATGTGAAGAGCACTTGAATGGGGAAACTTGCCTCAAAGCATTGGTTCCATGCCAGCACAAAAGGTTTTCAGCATAATTGGCAATGCTAGTAATAAACATTTCTGCAGAGCAAGGTGAGAGATTAAAGCTCTCAAAGGTATGCCAAAGCACACCAACACTAACATCCATTAGCACCTGCACCTGTGAACATATCAGGAAGCCTCTAGGAAGCTCTCCAGTCTGTTTCGTGATCCTACTATAATGTCCCTTGCCTTCTATATCTCTTCTCCTCTTAAGTTACAAGATTTTCTGTGGTCAAGAATATTTTTGGTTTTAAACAACGCAACTCAGCTCACCCAAGATGGGGACCTGGATGCCAGGCACCAACTGCCTCCACTAGCAAGTCTTGGCTCTGTAGAGATATTGGCTTACCAAACCAAGCAAACCCTTCCCCATCACTGGCTATGCTGTAGTCAGCAAATAGCATGTAGGCTCAACATTCTCTAGCCTTGCTGCAAACTGTAGAACTTTTTTTCCTTGCAAAAATTTGTACGGATTGGACAGTGAGCAAAAATACTTACCTGTTTAAGAAAGTTGCATGTATGAGACTGCACTAAATACTAAAATGCTATATTATGTTTCTTTTCTTTCTGCCTGTGCCGATAGAGAATGCTTCAGGAAATAAGCAACCTTTGTCACTGGGCTGATTCGTAAGACATGCTGCAGCTTATAGGCTGGACATGCACATGGTGGGCATATCGTGAGTGGAGCCAGCTGGGGCTGGAGGTCAGACTAGATGGCCCGGGAGACCCCTTCTGACTCGCTCTGTTTCTATGTCTCTTGTCATGGATATTTCACCCATGGTGACTTATGCTGCATGCCGGTGCCATTTTGAACGGCATTTTGACCCCTGTCCTGAGGTTGCTGTACTGTGGAAACATGGGCACACAGTGTTATGTGAGGGGTTCAATAACAGAGGGCTACCAAAACCCAAGAGTTCCATGTAGGATGCTTAACCTTTGCATAATATGGTGGTCAGGTAAAGCCAACATGGTAACCCCCATGCCGGGTGTTGCATATTAAAAACATTGGCCTGAACTCACCACTGCTCATCGTGGCCTAAATGGCTCCCAGTATGCCTGGCATGGTGTGTGAACCAGGTCATTGTGTTAAGTGGAGCTTACTCGCTAGTAAGTGATACTGTCTTTGCAATGCCTTGCATATATGATGAAATTATAGTAACGAAATCCTTACATTTACTGTAATAAAATCCATAAATTAGAAATGAAAGACTGGTATCTCTTTCTGTCTCAAGGAGACTAATAAGTGTTAAGTTGTCATAGACAACTTGGATTTGTTTAACATTTCCTATGTTAAATGATTATAAACATTCTGAGTACTTTAGCTAAAGGTGCAACTAAAGTGCCTACAGTGTTGGATTGTCCTAAACAACCTGGATGTGGTAACTGAACCTCTTGATTCCATTTTAGCCATCATGTATAATACTCAAAATAAGGGTTTTGCTTACCTTTTAAGCTTCCCACATAGCAATAGGCATCATAAGTTTCATTGGGAAGACGACGCCCATAGGATCTGACTCCTTCCTTTCCCATCATGTCTCCGTAGCAGCCAACTCTAGGTTGTCTGATGGGATATCTGCAATAGAGCAAGTGCACGATGGACATGGTCACGCTTCATTTGCAGCTACAGATGCAAGAAAGCTCTTTCTTTTAGAATGGGCAGATAAGAAACTACTTGATCATCTCACCTAACAGTCTGGTCAGCCAGCCAGCCAGCATCACATTGCTCAAATCCATCCTCATATGCAGCTTTGAGCTGATCAGCGTTCGCTATTACAGCACCATTCTCCAAACAAACCTTCTGAGCCTGCTTGAAATTCAGGGTGTACCTACTAGACGCTGCACGATAATGAAACACAACACCTGCAAAAACAGGAAACCCACACTAGTCACTCCTGTTGCGTTCACATTTACGTTCATAGAAAGTATTCTAGCCTGGGTGGATGGCAGGGTTAGAAATAGCATGCAGGAAGGCTCTCTGGTTTTATTCTATGCCACCATGACCTGTGTAAGTAACTAATTTTGATTGGCCTGCCTTTGGTCCAGTATATTTATTTGTAAAATAGGGCTTCTTGTATTATTAATCATTATGGATCGAATCCAGAAAATTAAGGGAGGAAAGGTTTTGGGCACAGAAAGTTCTTCTGTCTGACTTTTGGGTGTCGCTCTGCCTGCCCCATGCACACATGCGGACACAAGCACCAACACACACACCACTCACCCAATTTGGCAAGATCCCTGCATCACTGTTAAGGGGCTAGAGAGGCTACTATGGGAAAGAGGTGAGGAACATCCACTTACACTAGGGCAGTTGACCTTGCATATGTCTGAATCTTACTCTTTAAGTATCAAGTTTTTGCATTTGTGTTTTGGCCAGTATGGAAATAAAGCTTTAATCAATGCCATGATGCCATTTTATGACACTGACAATTCTCTGTTCAATGCTGTGCTCCTAAAAAGAATGGATAAAGGGTCTGTACATGTCCATCTGCAGCTTGGGTTCAAAATCTTTAAGCTCTTCATATACCAGCTATGGGACTGTTCAATTGCCAAAGATTTTCCCAGCGACCGCTTTGGTCCCTGAGATCCACTGACAGACAGGCTTCACTAGGATGTACACTGCTCCCCCAGCTGAGAGATGCTTGTGATGTTAAAGGTGACTTAAGATGGTTTGCTATGCATCTGAAATGAATGAAGATACTCCCATTCACGCTTGATGTGGTCCTTTAAATACGTGCTCTGTGACTATTTCAACCATTTCTTTAAGAAAGAATTCTGTACAAAATAGCCAGTCAAACAGCAAAGTCTGGAAAGAATGAGAAAGAAATACAGCATATGTTTCATGACAAAATAGGCCAAGGAAAGTATATTTTATGGCTAAAATGCAATCTCAGGTGACTGGGCTTCCACTTGCACAATGAACAATCCTTCTCTGCTTTTCCCTGCAGACACTCATGTTCTCCCAAAGCTACTCTCAAGGATCACTCAAGCCTCTGAAGTAGGTTTTGAGGACTCATGGGAATTGGGGTTGCTAAGGAAATTGCCCTTTCAGTGTTCTGCTACCAGAATTATGAGTGGCCATGTGTACTCTTTTGCAGGGTACAAGGCTTCATTAGATGGACTTCCACTGGACCTTCCTCTACTGGAAGGGCTGTCCTGTCCAGTTCTGGTTTAAAGATAGAGAACCATAAGAACTGTTTCCCATCAACAGTTTTAGAACCCAAACTGAACAGCAGGTTCCACTGGAAGCCACACGGATTACATGATCACAATCTTTTGCACTTTGGTGAGATGCCTTATATCTCTACCTGAATTATAGTATTTTAATAAATATAGTAAATATAATTTGTTTATACATATCAATTAGCATTAAATTGTTATCTTTTGTTGCCTTTGGTTTTGTGATGCATGTTGTCTATTCTAGGTTCCATATCCATCTAGTGGAAGGGATACTTAAAATCCGTTCTCTTTAGAAAAAAAAAAACTTTTCAAAAAGGCTGTTTTGAAATAACAACAAGAATAACAATAATAACAAAAGCTGAGGTTTCTCTTAGCATGAGAACAGTGTACAAAATATTAGTACATGGATCTGATTTTTAAAAGATCCCATAAGATTCAAGCCCATTTTGAAGATGAGTATTTTAAAAGTCTGTAATCCATAAAGGCTAATCTCTAGGCATTCCAGTGCAGCACAAAAAACAGTCCCAGGGAAAGGAAGGTTTCATGCTGTTTGAGATGTGTTCTTCTCTGCAGCATGCAAAGCCTGTTGCTAGACATGGCCGTGAGGTTTCCAAATCTGCAGCACACTTTTGGGAGATGCACAGATAACTGTGACTTTCAGGGACTGAACACAAAATCAGCCTGGGTGTCTCTCTCCGAAAGGAAAAGAAGTACAGGTGAGTCTATAAAGACTCCTACAGCAGTGGGAAACCTGTGCTTCTACAGCTGTTGTTGAACTACAACTGCCGCCATACCTTTCCACTGTCTGTGCTGCCTAGGGCTGATAATAGCTGCAGTCTAAAAACATCTGGGCAGCCACAAGCTGTCCACCACTGAAAGACAAGAGACTTGCTCTAGAGTAGGTAGAGTCATCAAGTCAGAATGTAGTCAAATGTCTTTTCTTATGTATTATTAGAGACATGGCATATGTTCTATGTATCAAATAAAAAACCATCAACTACATGCCAGACTGCAGCCCAAATCCCACTGAAATCAACTGGATTTCAGCACGGTTAGTGAGAATTCCAGCATGCAGTATTTCCATAGCATTCTTATGATCAGAATACATTTTCTCATCTGATGAAAATGTAGAATTATTCCACATCACCCAAATTCATTTGAAATGTATAATTGGTCTATGCTTGCAAGTAGTTTGCTAAAGTTTGGCCAAACCATTTTTGGAAGAGGCCCAAATCTAGGCATGCTTTTAATGTTATGAGACGATAGCAGAGAGGCAGCTAAACTTAGGTATATACAACTGTGGAATTTCCCACATGCTGCTGTCCAGTTTAAACTGATTTATAATCCCTTCGCCTTCCAGCCCAGTTAGGCATGTAATAGTAATAATGACAATTAATGACCTTCTACTACCACTTTATATTAAAATATACAAGTCAATAGCCATGGCAGTGACAGGTCTGCAAGACTGTTAAAAGTCTTGACTATGGTCCTAAAGGCTGAGGTGCTAGAAGACCCATTGGGTCCCACGTCAGACTATACAGCTCTATGGGCAAGGGGCACTTGAATCAAGTTGAATCAAGTCCAACAGTGATGGCCAGCCACGCTTACTGTGCCTTTATGTTGCCCTGTGATTCCGTGAAGTTTATAATGATGTGGTTTTACTTGTTAGAATGTGAGATCTTGTTATACTTGTTGTTATTTTTAATTGTATATATCTGTAACCCACCCAGAGAGCCTTGTGGCTAATTGCAGGCTGGGGCGGGGGGGGGGAGTCCAATAAATAAATAAAACTATGGACCATTTTTCTTCATTTTTGTACAACAGGCCATAGCATCTGATGTTGAGATTAATGCTAAGAGAACCAATGCATGTATACTCATAAACAAACTTCACTGGTTACATAGAGCTGCATCCAACGTTGATTTTACATAGAGCAGATAAACAAACATGCAAACAAGAGCAAACTGTGTCTGAAATGCAGTTGAAGCAAAATTGGCAGCCAAGTTCTATCACATTAGTACATCAATTTGAAGAGGGGCTGCCATGGGGTGGAGGTCTTCCTTCTGTGTGTTTTTATACATATTCCACAAAAGGAGTGAACAAATAAAGAAAGAGAGAAGCAAACCACAACAGTTTAACAATTGTGCTGAAATTCAGGCAAGCAAGATTAATATAAATGCCAGAGACATTGCCAAGAGCCATTCCAGGGAACTGGATATTAATATTCTTCAGTTTTATTCACTCTTGCAAGGACTGTGGGATCCTATCTAGTTTTATGTTACTTGGTTCTTTTTTTTGGGGTGGGGATAACTTCCCCTGATTCCTTCAAACAGAACATTAAATATTATCATAAGAAGTGATATAATCATTTGTCAGATATGTGGAATTGGCTGTTATCATTGTCCATTTTAATTTTCCCAGTATTCACAGCATAATAATTTCTTGTAATCATTTAATAAAGCTTACAACAGCTTTATTTTAAAAGGAAGAGGCTTTCTTGAAAATACACAGACTTTCTTTTCAGTATTAAATGGTTATTTACAATAGCTTGTTGTTGATGCATCTATAGATGGCTGGACACAGCTAATAAAACTGTCATATTAAAATGGCCTGCTAATTAATGAATGGTTTTAGTGGTACATATTACACTTGTTCTAATAATCTTTGCCAGGAGTTTAACTGGTCCCCGTGTTAAGAAATGACCTTTAGTTTTAGAGTCCAATTTATCCATTGAAATGCACCAAAAATAAAGTGCAATGAAAAATGTTCACAAAGCTAGTATTGTAGACAGGCAAACACTGAGGCAGTCAGAAACAGGGTTGCCAGATTACTAGATAAAAATTGGCTTGGCCTGCTTATGTGCCTTTGTCACAGCTTGATCACAGAAATCAGCAGATGAGGTTTCACAGCACTGAGATAAGTAGCAGCATCTGATAAAGTCTGAAGATTAAATTTCTGTTACAGCAGCACAAGCAGGAGCTGGTAGGAATATAGAAGAATTTCGTTCCAGTTCACAATTCATTCACACTCCCCACTTGCAAGCCCAAATGCAGGAACACATCCTCTTGAAAAATATTTGCAAATTCCTAAATTTGCAATCCAGTTTTAAAAAAGGCATATTTTGAACAATCTTCACTTTAAGATGCACATTAAAAAAACCAAACAAATGAGAAGGGTGTACTTTTGAAAACTGCGTGTAGAACTGTACCATTTTTCAGACAAGCAATAATAACAACCAAAATCTGGGTTGCAAATGAGAAGGGGACAAGACTAAATGAGCTGTGAAATGAAGATCAGGAAACTTCAGCAAACTTGAACTGGTTCCCCCACCCCTAGCAACTGATGAACAATCAGGCAACTTTAATGACAAATCTTGTGCCTTCATTCCAAGGCCAATAAGGTTGCAGAGAATCTGAAAGTAGGTAAAGTACTATGTGGGGTATTTGGCCAATTCATGAGGGCTTTTCAGCTGCCTCCATTCCCCTGGCAACCCCATACACTGTCTCATGAAGACTGTACCAAAAGCTGGGGCTCCTCAGATTGCCATCTCATAATGATGGTGCTACAGGGTGCAGAGAGAAAGGGAACAACAGAGGTAGGTACAGAGATGCAAAGAAGAGAAACATGGGGATGCAGAGAGGAGGAAGCAATGTGGTGAGGAAACAACAGGAATGTTTATAGAA